CACAAAGATCTCAAAAAATGATCCTTCTCTATATTCTTTAAGAATACATGTATAGATTTTCTATCATTCTTTAGTTAAATGTTTCAGATGACTCACTAAGAATACTGTATTTAGATATGGATTCTGTCCCTCCATAAATTTTAGATAAGATTATCAAGAAAGAAAGAAATTCCTGCAGATTTACAATACACTAGTTTAAGATAAATGCTACTGCTTTCCTCTGTCTTAAATACTGACTTGCCTTATTGTGTTCTGTGCTTAAATTCCACCATATGTTACAATGTTTGACTACAACTTTTATGCTACTTATTCTCTGTTCCAATTTTTTGGTTTTTTAAAAATCTTTTTCCTTGATATTTCACTTCAGCTTTTAGCAAAAGGTTATGAGGCTAAGAGCTTGATCTTGCCTGAGTAAAGTGTCTTCGAAAAGAAGTTATAGGTTTTATGCCTTGTCCCATTAAGCCTTGTGCCTCTGTGATGGATAAGTTTATCAAAGATGTGGATTTCTCCAGCCAACGTGCTAGAACATGCTCAGGTTTAGGATGCAAAATTGGAATACGGCACTTATGGCACAGTCACATATCCTCTGTATGGCAAAAAAATATTTTAGATGAGGATTACAGTCTAAAACTAAGGATTTTAAATGTACATGAATAATGTTTGGAAAAAAAAGTATATGGAAAATTGAGAGTTAAATTCCAAGGCTTACTCAAATAATATGATAGGTCTTTAAATTTTAAAATATTTATTATAGTAAAAGACACATCTGGCATTAAAGAGAAGAGAAACAAAATGATGGATCTCAGAGATAATCTAAAATTTGGGTTAAAATATTTTGAATATTTACATCATGACAATATGAAAAGAAGAAAAAAGCATGGGTGCCGAGAAAAAAACAAAAATAACATAAATTAGATAGATTAGTTGCAAATGGGAAAGAGTTGTAAACAAAAAGAATAAGAAGAACACTGTATTCTAACCAAAGCAGAATAAATTTGCCAAGCTCAGTCTCTGCTGTCACGTTTATCACCTGTGTAGTTTGTGAATGAACAGATAAGATGTGCTCTACAAATGTGCTTTGGAAAAGAATTCACTCTTTGCTGCATAATAAGGATATGGAGCTGTATCTTACTGAAGTCCACCAAACCTGAATCTTTTATCACTATCAGAACAGCTCTGGCTTGCTTGGGGGCAGTTTTGTGGGCTCCTATGAATGAGAGTCATTGCTGGATACAGACAGAAAACTCACTCTTTATCAAATGAATGGTAAAAGCCTTGAGTATTATGGATCAATTGTATACATATCCTGTATTTTTAATTATTTAAAATTGTTATTATAAGTTGTATCTCTTTTAAATAGTAAATTATATACTTATTTACACTGTTCACATTAGGTTAACAATTTGATTTTCATTATTCCTGTCATATGGTTGTAAATATATGCTGTAAATTTATTTTTCTACCATTCAAAATTTAGTAACTGTTAATTATTCAAAGCGCAGATTATCTTTTTCCATCATATGATTTACTAAAACCATTGTTATTTTCCAGCAGATGATCTTCAGGAACTTTCTATTAGTTTCCTATCTGGGAGTCTAGACTGTCTTAGCCACCTCCTGCCCTTGAGCAGAAGGATCAGCTTGACAATTTTTTTTTCCTCTATATGGTGCTGTTCACCACAGCTTGGGATCCTATGGGAATGCCCTAGTCAAGAGGGACAGGCACTTACAAGTATTTAAAGGACAGAATTGCATTGATGATACAGCACAAAACTGGGCAGACTCGAGGATGCTAAAAGCAAAAGATTCCCTATTTTGATTCTGGAGTCACTAAAGAAGAGACAGACACCTTGCTTGTGGCATCTATGCTTTTTTGAGGAATCATTTGCCTTAGATATTCTATGCATTTTATTCTTCACTTGTGCCCATGTTCAGTGGCTTTCTATGCCTACGAGAAATTTCTAAGCTGTAAAGATTGAAAATCCTTCCAACCTCCATCAGCATGCAAGTCTGTATGCACACGGGATTCCAGTTTCATCTGAAAGACAGCACTTAGGTGAGAAGAGTGGATAAGATGTGAGTGCATTTGATCTTAATGAACCCAGAAAGTGAAGGGAAAGTTTGAAAGGAGGGATTGATACCTACTTAATGGGGAATCACTGATTTTGGATACATGAGAGTACAGATTGCCCTTTACCTTGAGGAGACAGACCATTATCCTTAAAAGCTGCTCAAAGAGCTTTCCACACCCATCTGCAGCCACAGATAGTATCTATAGAGGGGCTTTGTGCTCTTAACATTTTGTGATTTCAAAATATATGATGTTAAACTGATAGAACTGATGACACTGTTGATAATTTGAAATCTTGACTATATTACCTCCTCATCTATCATGCACACCTGACAAGGGTATAAACAAACAAACAAAATTAGGCAAGATAATTCTCCAGAAAAGGATCAAGAGATTATATTTTCATTAGAGATTACATTTGCACTGCATTTCACACCTGACTTTGTCACTGCTATTCGTGGCCGACAATTTTATGATCATGGTTACTTCATCATTTCAATTACCATTATGGTTCCTATGTTTCAGACACTGTGCAGAGAATATTAAATACTTTAGCAAGAATCTTTAAAATGATACACAAAGTGATAAAATTCCCAGTAATTTAATGCTCAAAGAAGTTTAGTAGTCTCTTAAATGTGATTGGAGTATAAAATAACGATTGTCATTGGAGTTTCCAATGTAGAGAAGTAGCCACTGAGAGCAGAGTGATGTGTCTATATCCAAGAGTGAAGTCAGACTGTGAATACTCTTCAAAACTGCCCAACAAAAGGATATGTCTTGCCTTAGGAAGAAGCAGAATATTGGAGGATGTGAGAGCAGATATTGAAAGGAAAAAGATAATTGTGCCTGAGTGTCCAAGAGATGGCACATATCATAAATGTTATATTATGACATAAACATCTAGATAATTAAGAAAATTTGTAAACAACAGTGTTACCTAAGTGATATTATTAATATAAGACATAGTGTAAATCAGTCATTTTTTTTTCTTTTTCCTATTCCTAATTGCTTCTTACAAAGTAGGAGCATATTATTGGAGATAAAATTCCAATATATTTGTACAGTATAGAATTAGTTATAATTCAGAGAAAACTGTAAGACTTCATAGTATTGGTGTAGAATAGCCGGGGCAATGGCCATATGAATTTGGGGAACGCTCTGATGTAGAAGAGACTGAAATTTTCACTGTTGATGGCTGCCCTGGGTATCTAAAATTGGATGTTGATCATGTTGGTAACTGATGGAGTTTTCTTGGGCTACTACTTTAATGTCTATGTTTATCTACCTACAGTTGTGCTGGTGTCATATGTTCTCTTGAACAATCTATGAATTTTTTCCCTCCTCTTGCTCTGTTAGGTACCATTACACATGTTCTAGGAGTAGGCATAATTTCTCTTTTTACACCAGTGCATTGGAAAATATATCACTATCTACAGAACATATAGCCCTCCAATTCAACATAACCTGATTGGATTTATCCTTTTCACTGCATTCCTAAATTTCTAAATATGTCTTTTTTTCTCCATAATGTCACAAAATTTTGCAAAGTAAGTGAATTTATTCTAGATTTTTCCTTCTTGAACTTAGCATATAATGATCCACAGTACTGTGGAGTTTTTTCCTCTCTATATAACCTTCATTCCTATTTAGCCATCATAATATTTACTGTAAGAATTCGCTGAAATCCATATTTTTAAATGATCATAAATCCATATTTTAAAATGATCATAACTCCTAAAACATTTCCTAGTTTGGTCACTGCCAAACTATAGCCCAAACTATACTTGCTTGACAATGATACATTGTAGACCTGGTCAAGGTGATTTTTAAACTGCAATTAATATACTAGACCCTCTAAGAGTAAGTGCAAGCTCTTTATATTCACACACAATTTCCTTCAAAATTTCTTGTTCATCTTTCCATATAAACATGACTCATAAATGTAGCATTAATCATTACTTTAGCTTTGTTCAATAACATTTGCTTGCATTTGAAATACAATAGACCTGACTCTCCACAATTCTGCTTTCTACTCTTTATTATTTGCTAGTAACTTGGCATAAAAGCATTACAAGGAAAAATCTAGATGAAATCAATTCATAATTTAAAAAAAAACTTACTGTTCAATTGGGTTATTAGTTGTTATTGACTGTTATTGTGCCTAACTTATGAATTAAATTTAATCGTTTTTGTTTGTGTGTAGGAAACACTGGTATATACAAGTTTTGATCCTTCTATGGTTTCAGGCATCCACTAGGTTTTTTGGAATATGTCTCCTAGCATAATGGGGATTGGCTGCACTCTCTAATACATTTCTTCATTTACATGAGCATCAGTCAGGATGAGATGAATATCATACTCCTTTGGTTCTATCTAACCCATATTTGTCCTTTGAAAATTGACTCTAAAACTAGTCGTGCCCCTCCCTAGATGAGCTTAGTTCATATCTACTTTGTAGCCAGTTTTCATATCAATCTTAAAGCAATATTTAATTTTAACTCTTGTTGAGATAGTTTGAAAGTGTTTGAACACATTGTTATGTATTTTTCTACTTTTTGTTCTGCCAGCTATTCATTATGATGTAGATGATGAAAGAATAAATAAAATCTTAAACAATAAATACAGATAGTGATTAAATTATGGTAATTAAATTTGATTTAAACACTATAGACAACTGCATGAATATATATATATATATATATATATATATATTCCTATTTTTAACACAACCAGCTATTCTTTATTATGTGCATGAAAAATAAATTTCTTAAATTGTAAATATGGGCAATGGACAGTGGTAATTAAACTTTATTAGCACAGGAATGATTAAAACAATACACACACATATGAAAGCATTTGTTGTTAGAATACAGATAAATTTTCCATATTTATGTCTCTCCAATTAGACTGAAGGTGACTCCATCAGCACAATGTCTGTCTTCAATGATTCTACCCTGTATCCTCGCTTTCTTCTCACAGGCTTCTCGGGCCTTGAAAGTGTATACGGCTTGATTTCCCTCCCTATCTTCATGGTTTACGCCACTTCCATTGTGGGGAATATTACCATCCTCTTCATTATCAGGACAGAGTCCTCGCTTCACCAACCAATGTACTACTTCCTCTCAATGCTGGCACTCACTGACCTGGGCCTATCCACCACCACCTTGCCAACTATGTTTAGCGTCTTTTGGTTCCATGCTCGGGAAATTCCTTTTGATGCTTGTCTGGCCCAGATGTACTTCATCCACGTTTTCTCAATAATGGAGTCAGCTGTTCTGTTAGCCATGGCCTTTGACCGCTTTGTAGCAATCCGAGAACCTCTGCGCTATGTGAACATTTTAACCACTGATGTGATCATTGGGATTGGGTTGGCAATAGCTGGAAGAGCCTTAGCCCTGGTGTTTCCGGCTTCCTTCCTGCTGAAGAGACTCCAATATCATGCAGTCAATGTTCTCTCCTACCCCTTCTGCCTGCATCAGGACCTCATAAAGACAACCGTGTCCAGCCGTCGGGTGAGCAGTATCTATGGCCTCATGGTGGTCATCTGCTCCATGGGACTTGATTCAGTGCTTCTCCTCCTGTCCTATCTCCTCATCCTGGGCACAGTGTTGAGTATAGCCTCCAAAGCAGAGAGAGTGAGAGCACTCAGTACTTGCATTTCCCACCTCTGTGCCGTGCTCACCTTCTACACACCCATGATTGGCCTCTCTATGATCCGCCGCTATGGGCAGAGTGTGTCTCCGGTTGTCCACGTGCTCATGGCCAATGTATACTTGCTGGTGCCACCTCTCATGAACCCTATTGTCTATAGTGTAAAGACCAAGCAGATTCGTGACAGAATCCTCAAGAAATTCAAGAAACATGAAGTTTAGAAGAAAGATACTGCAAACCACAGCTTTCCTCCCATCTCCTCTATATGTATGAGAATATTTATCAATGTTGTCTTCAAAATGTAACTGATTCCAAAAATAATTTTCCTTGAAGCACTTTACCTAAATCTGAACAATAGTAAAAGCTAGTGTTTCAGTGGAGAATAAAGACCTGACTTTACTTTATAATGAGATTATTTATTATATGTTTTGAATACTATCATGTTCTAGATACTTAGATGTCAGGATTAATGTAGACCTTGCAATCTTGTAATGTATTTATCTGACTGTGAAAATGTTTGAAATACATTTTGGATCTGTCACAATCCGAACAAAAAGGCTGCTGTCAGAACAAAACAATGCCTGCATGAAAAATGTAGCAGATTTTCAGAAGGATAAAGTGGAGTAAACTTGGACCAAATTACTTGAACTAAATTTAGATGCTCTCATATAATGCAAAACTAATGAAGTTTTTTTTTTTTTTTTTTTTTTTTTTTTTTTTTTTTTTTTTTTTAAGGAACCTGCAGATGCTGTTCATTTCTAAGGGGTACAAACATTTAACATTTTGAGATCATTTTTGGTTCATTTTCTTAAACTGAACTCTCAGTACATTTCTCAATGATTTATAATGGTAAGCACTGATTCTATATCCTAAAATGTACTATCTGAAACTTAAGTTGAGAGAAATACAGTCCTGGAGCTCCTGGAGCTCCTGCTGATACTATCCTCGTAACGCTTTACCCAGAACTCAATGTCATTGTGCCCTGGTATGCTCAAGATTTCTGAGGGAACTGCATATTTCAAATATCACTATAGGAGAGATAGATGCACATATTTTGAACACTAGGAACTTTATATTCTTGACTCTAAAAGCTTTTGTTTCCAATTAATGTGATTGCATGAACTATCTTAAACCCTCTTAAAATTGCATAACTCATAAAGTATCTTTAATATTTTTTCTGTTCCCAGTGGTTCAATGTCATAATCATTGATTCTAAATGTAACTTCCTATTGTCTGATTTTAACTTTCATAATTCTACTAGAATTGAATTTTAAAATATTTATTTATAGTGATCTATTTGTTGCTATATTCATTACTCATTTCAGCCTTTAAACATCCTTTTCCTTTTAAAAAATTTAGTATTTAGATTTATCAAAAATATGAAAGCATAGAATTCTTATATATCATTCACGTAGTTTCCTATGTCATTAAAATCTGACATTAATGTGGAATATTTGTTAAAATCAAGATACCATTTTTATAGACTTTAAACAACATTAGATATTATGTTTTCTTCAGATTTTTTTTAAATTTTTACTTTTATTTTGAAGAGAATAAAACCAAATGAGAAAAAACCAAATGGAGTCAGTCAAAACAAAAGGATCGACATAGTACATGTCTTACAACCAAAATGCAAGGTGATCTACTATGGTTACCATGGTGTCTGTTGTTATCTTCAATAGAATTGCCCATATCATCAGGCACAATAAAATTTAACATAGCAGTTCAGAACAAAATTAATAAAAAGATGTAAAGAAGGTGATAGTCAAACCAGAATGTGTTTCATAGAGAATCTTACTGCCTTCAGGGTAATCGCCTATACTCTCAGGCTTGATACCATTAAACATAACAGATTTGAATAAGATCAGTCAATACAAGACAGTGATCAAACAAAACATTCAAATACAATCAGTCAAAACAAGACAATGAAAGCAATAGAGGGCTTCAGATTAAGTTAATAGGATATTAAAAATGGTTACCATAGTATATCCTGCTATCTTTTGAATAGCTGTCCATGCCCTCAGATCTAGTACAAGTAGACAAACTGGAACAGAATATAACCAAACTAAACAGAGTGATTAAAACAATATAGGTTTTGAAATCATGATACATACTAACATTGTCCTCTCCCTTCCCTTTTTACACATTTTGCTCCCCCTCCTAACTTGCACAAGGTTCACTGTACATTTTGTATTACACTGACTGCTTTAGTTTTTAGATTAGGGAGGCAACCTGCTATCTACCCAAGTGGCTCTAAATCTTTTCATGATTCAAGATTTATCAAGGTGTATCCATTTACCTACAAGAGCTTCAAGGTTTTCTTTCCTTATAGCTGAGTAGTTCTCCATTGTGTGAAAGTGTTACGTCTTTCCAACCAATCTGCAGCTGAAGGGTGAGAGTGAGCTGCCCCCACTTTTTTCTGGTTCCCTGTCACATGGAGCATTATTTTTTCTTGACTTTCAGTCCATAAACCCTCTTTCAGATTAATGACAATTCTTACATAGAAATCTTGAGGAACCTTATCTCCTGATTCACTCTGCCTGTGTTTCTTTTTATTAGTGCATTGAGGCCATTGATATTATAGATTACGGCCAACATTCTCTGCCTCATCTCTGCCATATTATTTTTCAATCGTTGGTTGTCAAACTTTCCCCTTCAATCCAATGTCTGTCCCATTCAGTTAGTCCCCTCTGCCATTGTTCCTGAAAACATGGTCTTTATTTTCTCTCTCTAGAATACCCTTCAGTATTTTTTGTAGGGTTGAATTGGTGGTCATGAACTCCCCCAGTTCCTCTTTATCATGGAAGCATTTTGTTTGTTCATTAACTTTGAAAAATGGTTTTTCAGGGTACATCAATATGAGTTGGTGGTTATTTTATTTTTGGGTTTGGAATACTTTGCTCTAAGATCTTCTTGTGGATGGTTTATGTCAAGAAGTCTGTTGTGATTTTGATGGGTTTCCTTTATAGGTGATTTGTTTCTTTTCTATGACAGCTTTTAATATTCTGTTCTTGTGTTGAATTTCTGGGATCTTGATTATTGTATGTCGGGGTGCAGATTTGTTTTGGTTAAAGATGGATGGAGTTCTGTATGTCTCATATATCTGAATACCATTTCCTTTTCCAATGCTTGGGGAGTTTTCTTTAATTATTTCTGTAAATAGCCTTTGATTTTCATTTGTGTTTACCAAGTGCTTCTTCACTCATTTTTTTTCTTAAGTTATAGATTATTTTGTCATCTTTGAGACTTGTATTGTTACTTTCTGGTTCCTTGTTATTTTTAAGAGTTCTTTCCTCCCATCATCACAAGTTGCAAAGGTCTTCAAGGTTTGATAGTCTATCTTTAGTTTCTTTCAAGCAGTTTTATCAGTTTGAAACAGAATTTTAATTTCTTGGTAATCTCTTTGAATCTGTCTGAATCTGTTTGTAGATTTTTTTTTAATATCCTTCATCGAAGGTTTTCCCTCCTTTTTCTGTGCTTCTCCATTCTTCCACCTGTGTCTTCTTGAGAGTTGCTTAATATTTCCTTTATTATTTTTCTTATTTCTTCTGTTACATGTATTAGTTTCATGAAGATATTTCTTTCTGTCAGAGGCTGTTTCTTCAGAAATTACAGCTGTGCAGCCCTGTTCTCGTCTGTGTTCATCTCTCCTGGGCCAGTACTGCTTGGGATGGATGCTGAAGACTTCTTTTTATTTCTTCCTCTTGTCATGTTTTTGGTTTCTTCCAGACAAATGGATAGTAGGGTCCCCGGTACTTCCTGTACTGGTTACAATTTCTCTCAAGTGTGCTGGCTTGGGATTGCTGTCCTACCCAGTCTGCTGGTGACCACTGGAGTACAAGCAGTGGTGGGACAGGCTTGGCCTCTCCCTTCTGAGCTGGTCAACCACTAGGAGACTTCACCAGGTTAGTGTGTGTTGCATGGGCAGGGCTGGTTAAGGACAGCGTCAGGGAAACCTCTGTCTTGGAGATTGGATCACACCCAGGGGCAGGTCTCATTCCAAGCAGTTCAAACCAATTTGCTCTGTGCTAGGAGTGGCTGAATGAAGCCAAATGCAGTCCTGGTTCCAGGCTTATCCTGCCTGACCACACAATATCGCCCATGCAATCACCTACTCCTGTGGGAGGACTGAGTTCCCCACACTCACTGTGAGCCAGTGCAGTTCTCTGGCCCGCCGCTCTCCTCTGGTATCATGTCCTCCCACCAAGGCTGTCAGGCTTGCCAACCCCCAAACTTGACTGTGACCATGTGACTTCAGATTCCAGTGGCATTTCACACACAGTGGGACTGGCTCTAGAGAGAGACTGCATCTTGCTATGGCCTGCTGTTCACATTTTTCTTTACTTTTTTTTGGTAATTTTTTACACTTTAGTTTCTTCCTGGTTCAAGAGGATCCGCCTACTTTCATCTGGTCTTCTCCGGGATGCTATATTCCAGCATCTGAGCTATTTCTCTAGAGAGGCTTTTTACTTTGCTACTTATTGATTTGCCATCTTCACAGCTACCTCATTTTCTTAAGGTTTTCATACCTGCCTAATATTTTGCTGCTACTCCAGAATTTGTTCCATGAAACATATAACATAGGTGTAATAGAATTTTCTTTTTCAATTCAGGGTTTTAACTGAAGGCCTCCTCCAGCCTTGTTTTACTGGGAAACAGATTCTTGGTAAGTGAAAATAGTTTTTCAGACTGGGCTGCAGCTTATTATCCTCATGCCTCAGCATCCTAGAGTGCTGAGATTGCTGAGTTTACTGCTGTGAGTCATCAATTCTAGCTCCTTAGCATTCCCTTAATGCTATGAGATTCTCAAACCATCATCACTTTTGAATTTCTGGACGTTTTCAAGGATATTTTGGAGTTTTGTAAAATGTCACTCTACTGAGATTTCTCTTTTTTTTATCCATGATTACATTAGGATTATGTCGTCTGAGGAGAAAGACAGCATTCATGTGATTAGGGTAATATTCATGTTGTTTCTTCTTTAGGAAATTGATCTCCAAAAAAAACCCCACCTGTTTACAGGCAGCTCCTATGTACTAGCATAGTAATACAACACATTTTCCAGCATAAAAAGCAGAGACTCTGCATTTCCTTAATATAACAATAAAAACAATGAATAAATAAAATTAATGAAAATGCTACTTTCATGCACAATGTTTTGAAAGAAAGTCAGTATATACAGCTTTTACTGAGAGGTTATAGGACTTCATGTTTCCCCTCA